GCTAGCGAAAGAGACTGAACGAGAGTTACTATAGTAGGGAAGAAGAGTTCTCGGATCAAGCTCATCTTCCATTAATTAGGTTTTACCAAGATTGGATCTCTAATGGGAATTAACAAGGGTTTTAGACTTGGGTGTATGGAATTGGGAGTGATGGAAGGAAACCATCTAACTGAAAGCGCAATGACTCTCACAATTTTCTATTTGCCAATGAAGTCCCTGAAGAAAGTGGCCTCTCCCATATTAATAGCACTTGGTTGAAAACCCAAAAGTGCTTAAAATCAAGTCCACCTCATTGTTTGTTTTGACAATATCCTTACAATCAGTCCAATTAATGGCCGAATGATTTGAATGCCTAATGAATACCCACTAAAACTTGGAATAGATAAAATCAAAATAAAATGTCTACCATGTTAGCGGTACTACAACATCATTCAACTAGGAATAACTACTACACCATATGTTTGTTTTTGCTTAATTGCACGCTTATTGAGGAACCTACCAAACCTTCCCCATCAAGAACATCTTATTGTTTGGCTTGATTTTTTTCTTTGCAAGAGATAACAAGAGAGATATTAGAAAAAGGCACACCTTAGAATCTGGAACCTTCCCAAAACAACAAATTATTAGCCAACCTAAAAATTCAAAGGAAACTAACTCCAATTGAGAAAACAATAGGACTTCAAGCGCCACTTTATGGTCAACCCGCTTTATGGCTCACAAAACCATCCTAAACTATGCAAATAGAACCTGAGGAAACCGGCTGGCGACTCTCTCGGAGTAGGGGGCCGCCTAGTGAATACGCCACCACACCTAAACGAAACTGACGAATCATCTTCCAAGATAACATGATTACGACTTTGAGAAACAATTACTAATATCACTCAAATTATAGTATTTTATCGCTCCATGTTTGATACATTCTCGCTTCTATTAATGTATCTTTAGTATATTTTGCTATATTTTAGGTGAAAATCATAAATATTTGATCAATATAGTTATAATAGATCTAACATGTGGTTTAGTGTCATTTTATGTCTTACTGTTATTAATCTGTACTTTTTCAAGGTCGAACATAATCTATGATTGATTTGAAAAAACTATTAGATCATGTTGGAGCATCAAGAAGGATGAATACTAATCAAGGTGGTTCGTCCCTTAAAAGAAGCCAAACCGTGGGAAAGTCTTCATGAAGTTGTCATGCAAAGCCAAGCGGAGTCCATTGGAGAATTTCAGGCCAAGCCTACACAGAAACTCGCGGTGACCTTGTGCTAGTGCCAATCGTCGATGGATTTAACCCATCAAGTCGCACTAAAAAATCATTAGGAGGTTACTTGTGGGCCAAGTAAGCCCGAGCTGAAGGAAATTCCACAACTTTGATTGCATTAATATCACTACATACATGCACATCAATGACTAATAAGGTGTCTCTAGCAACAAGTAACTCCTCAGTGTAGAGATCTAACACCCAAAATGGTGATATCCAACTGCCAGCAGAACATGCATGTCCGCCCCACGGACCACTAGGCTAGAAGCACATTCAAAATCCCGGACACCAACATTAAAGTTGAGCTTAAAGACGACATCAAGAGGGGCGAGCCAACGAGCCGAAGTTGAGAGTACGGAGGGAGAGGGGAAGGATCCAAGTCGAAAGGAGGGGCATAAGAAATTTCACGAGCTTGAAACAAAAATGGACTAGCTAAAGAACAGGCATGTGGTCGGGCATATTCAAAAACCACTTTATTTCGATATTTCCATATCATCCATAGTAAGAAAACACATTGTGGAATTTAGTATTGGGAGTACTCGGAGAGTAAAACGTTTCGCCAAGCTAAAATTAATAGTTGGGCCGAAATATAGAAAAACGGTTAAACCCATTGGAGAACATAGTTGAATGGCTAAGTGCCATCTAAAGAACAAATGTTCAATACTTAATTGGTACATATCTAACAGACCGGTCTTTGGATAAGGCAATTCACTCGTGGAGTGTTAAGGGCAACTACAGTTTCCAAGACCACTCTAAGACAGTGCCACATAAAGAACTTCAGCTTTAGTGATATTAGCATAACCAAGTTTTCTTCCAAATGGGAGGATCACTCATCAGAGCCAAATGATAACCAATTTTCACCGAGTAATAACCATTTTTGGCTTAATGCCAAATTGAAGAATCTTTCTATAGCAATGGTGGCGGCGGGATCGGAAAAAAACGAGAGACAAATTTAATGTTTTTTAGGGGTGGGTGGGGGTGGGACAAAAACGAGCACTATACTTCTCATAGAGAGGCCTAAAATGCCAAACATGCACATATTTTTGGTTGGTCCTCGGAAAATTGTCACCAATTTTACTCTATCTTACATTAATTTACACAAATGTAGAAGGAGGGACAAAACGAAGAAAATCAAGCCTTATAATTAACTCTTCAATAAAGTGAATAGTGTCATAATGTATACTTATATAAAATGGAACTTTAGCCATAAATGAAAATCCATCAACGAAATTCAAAATTGAAAAACGTAAAATCTAAGTTAAAATCTTAGGGCAAGTTGTTGTTGGGATTCAGAGGTTTGAAGCAAAGTCTAGGAAGAATGCGGGGCACAATCGTGGTAATGTGGAGCTGGGGAAAGGTAAATCCCAATTTCAAATGGATGTTGATCGGAATGGTAAGAATGGCCCTACTGGGGTTGTGTATGATGATATTCTGCAGAGGAGATCAGAAGGGCAGTCTTATCTATTGGTTTGATGCAAGAGCCTGTGTCGGATAGTTTTACTAGAAAATTTTATAGAAATTATTGGGACATTGTTGGTTCCTCGATGGTTGAAGCGATTCAAATCTTTTTTTCGTCGGTGGGCATTTTCTCAAGAGCTTTAATCAACATGGTTAACATTAGTTCCAAAAGTGGAGTCGGTGTCATCAATAAAACAAATTCGCTCTATTAATTTGTGCCAAATGGTGGTAACGATCACTTCCAAAATTCTTGTTGGCAAAACTTCTGCCTAGTATTATCTTCCCGGAGCATAATGGTTTTGTCAGGGATCGCTAGATTGTGGATAATGTGTTTATTGGCCATGAGATGATGCACTATTTTAAGACTAAGAAGCGGGACAGGAAAGATTATATTGCTCTAATGGTTGATATAAAAAAGCCTATAACCGGGTTGAATGGCTTTTTCTATTCACCGTCTTAGAGAAGTTGGGTTTTCGTGCATTATGAATTGATTGGATAAAGGAAATGGTGACATGACTTCTTTCTGATCTTAATGAATGGAAGGCCTTCTGGATATTTTTGGGCAGCACATGGTCTACGACAGGGTGACCCCCTATCTCCGCTATTGTTTTCCATTTGTACGGAAGGATTTTCGGCCTTACTGCGACAATCTATTGCGGCAAGGAGATTTTCAGGGATTAAAGTGAGTATGCAGTGCCTGAGCAATTCGCATATGTTCGCTGCAGATGATTCATATTTATTTATGAAAGGATCGGCTCAACACTAAGAGAATTTGATGGGGGGTACTACATGAATACCAGATCTTAAGTGGCTAGAAAGTGAATTTAGAGAAGTCAGTTGTTTGTTTCAGTAAGAATGTTCTGACTAAGGAAAGGCAGCAGATGGCCCTTATCTTAGGGGTTGGGGCGGTTAGTGTTTATGATAAGTATATTGGGCATCCAACATTGGTTCACAGATCAAAGACATAGACATTCCGATTTGTTCAGGAAACGCTCCTGGCACGGCTACCAGGGTGGAAGCAGCGTCACCTTTCATGAGCTGCTAAGGAGACTTGCTTCTACTCTGTCAATTTATGTGATGGCATGTGTTCTTCTCCCTTTGGCGGTGTGCAGAAAACTTGATAAGCATATGGCTAGATTATGATGGGGCTCCGACACAGGTAAAACCGACATGAGTGTTCTTGCGAAACCTGTGTCGGAGTAAACATGATGGTGGTCTTGGATTTAGGATCTTTGAATTGATGAATAAGGCTCTTCTCCCTAAGATAGGGTGGCATCTACATACTTAGTCGGGCTCGTTGTTGGCGAAGGTTCTGAAAGGAAAGTACTATCCTAATACATATTTATTTAGTGCTACGGCGAGGTCCTGGCCTTCTTGAGGGGTGGCAGGGTATTTTGGAGGACAAACATTTACTAGTGCAAGGATTGAGATGGCAGGTGCGAAGTAGGAATGATGCGAGGATATGTGAGGATTTTTGGGTCCAGGTCTGCAGTGGCAGCCGCTCCTTCCTTTGCCATCAGCTCTGGTTGTTCATAATCAAATGATGGAAAGTTTGATAGATGGAGAATCGGGCGAGTTGTGTTAGGAGTGTTTACAGGCCTGTTTCTCGGCAAACAAGGTAGGTGGAGGTTTCTTGGTTTGATTATGCGTTCTGGAAGAGGGTTTGGGGCTTCGATATCCCGCCGAAGCTGCGATTCTTTGTGTGGTAGTTCCTTTGACGAATTTTGCCTACGATGTGTACACTACAATCTGCGGTGCTCGGCTTGTTGGGCTGATATGGAATCCATAGAGCATTTGTTTCTGCATTGTCTAGTCGCCATGGACCTTTGATGACAGTCGGTGTTGATGGCTTTGCGACATGGATTGTCAGAAGTGAATGTACTTGTTTCTCCAAAGCTACGATTGTAAGGGATGGGTTGGTAGCGGAGTTCTGCAGTTGGTTTTGTTGTTATGTCGTATTTGGAAGTATAGGAAGTGGGTAGTGTTTGACCATTTCCAGTACCATAGTTCACTATTGATGCATCAATATCATAGTTAAATGGCAGAATGGGAGGGATTTGGTCTGGGTAATGTTCTGCCAGATGTTGTAAGGGTTGGTGTGGGCAGGAATGGAGTTGGGGGAGCTAGTTTGCCTTCCAATGGATTGGCTTATAAAAAAAGGGTAATTCTTACTCTCTCACGATTGGCTTATAACCAAGGCTGTCAACCCGTGGGTCGCCCGAACTTGGTCGAGCTAGTGGATCAAGGGTTAATGGGTCACCCGTTTTAGCCCAAAAAATATGAAAAAGTCATTATATTGTACTTATCTTGAATCAAACATAAAAAAAACAATCGTACTTAAACTCCAACACACTTAAATAACATCAACATAAATTCATCATAGTAAAAATTCAACGACACTTTGGAACAAGCAGCCTGCTGACCCGCTTGAAAAGGCCAACCGCCCGAGTTGGACTGGATTTTTTCGCGTTTGACCATTTCCGCACCATCTCTCAAATGAGCTATTTTAACCTATTTTCAAGGCCGGGTCCGAGTCGACCCGACCTTGCTTATAACCTTCCAATGGATAGCACCCACTCTAGCATGCACACTCAGGCTATCATTGCAGAAAGGCACCCAATTGGCTCCACCGCCGGAGGAATCTGACGACGAAGTAGAAGCTCAAAGATCGCTGCAGCTAATGCCGATAGCTACCATGCAAAGAAGAAGTCGAGGACAACTTCGGTGCCACAAGCGAAGTAGAAGCGAGAGCGGGAGAAGAGGATGAGCAAGGGACCAAAGAGACGTTCCTGGCCCTAGAAGGCAACAAAGACCAAAATACAACGTGCAGGCATAGATCCTCCACGAAGAGAGCCGTCATTTCAATTGGTCGCACAAAGACAGACGAGCAGTCGCAAACAGCAAACTGTAAGGAAACACGAACGTTGTTTTCTCAATCAAAAGCAACAATTGTATGATTGGTTGTTAGTATCACGATACCTGGCCGGGAAGCTGAATCTCAGTCTATAACGGGTGCCCATTCCTGCACGGAAAGAACTGTACCTCAAAGGGTTCGTTTCCAACAATCTCGATCCCCTTTCCATCTCTTCACTCGCATCTCCCAGTTCAAGTGCGCCCTCGGGGATCAAAGGTTTATCAACCCCAAATTAATGCTCATTGGATGGAACAAAGCATAATCGATTCAGAAAAGTCCAAAAATCATTCAGCCAAGTGCAACCCTATAAGTAAATAAAATCCTGAACAGACTTTAATTCCAGGAACAGTATCCGTGCCAACATCTACAATCATCTGTTCTTTCATGGTACAAATCTGGTTGTGTTAGTGGAAAAAGGAGCCAGATAAAAGATATAACTCCGGCTGCAAATACCAAAGCCACCATCCCTCCTGAAACAATAAGATGTTAGCTATAACAAAACATCAGCTGGATTCAGAGTAAATCCACACATCGGGTTGAAGTTATGTACCTTTCTTCCTTGCAAAAAACACTGGCAACCCCATGAAATTGCAAAACATATGAGCAAGTAACGGGCTAACAAGGTGTCCTGCCGGGATGCATCAGAATAGATCATTAGGAGAAGAAAGTTATCTGAGAAATAAATACATCATTCGGAAGTCTATTAAGGCGAGAAAATTTCACCTGTTCGAATGAATAGGAATGAGGCGTAGGAACCAAAAATCACAGTGTAGCTGAGTTGGAGACCTAGCAAATAAACAAGTTTGCATTTTGTCATCAGGTGGAAGTGTCTGGTTAATCATCTTTTTTTCCAATTAACATGCCCAAAAAACTGAAGGATAATTGCAAGAATGAGAAAACCAGGCCTTGCTCCATACCCGATAATCTAGTAATAGATATCACATGACACGTCATCTAAACTTAATTCGGATTGAGAGGCTTAATTACCTACAACCATGGATGCTTTAATCACACTGTAATTCTGCTGGCAGTAAATCTCCATCCAATGGTTCAAATGTGCTGCAAAATATGACGATGAAAGAGGCACTTTACTTAAGCATGAAATCCAAATAATATTCTACTTCGAACTTCAGACAAACCAGATGAAGCAATAACCAAATCATCAATGTACAGCAGTACTAAAGACTTGAACAATTGAACTTACCCAAGCTGAAAAGAATAGGGCACAGGCCAATGACAATGTAGGGCTCGAATCCTCCACATAGGAGTAAAGGAATCATACATGCTCTAAACACCAATTCCTCAGTCACTGGCGCCTGTACACCAAGAAGTTCAACCAAACCGATTACTATGGACACCAAGTAGTGTCCGTTCCATCAACCAAATACTGCATATCTAGCATCCAAGTAAAGAAAAATGGGGAGTTTGTTCCTCGATAATCCAAAATTTCGACGCATTTAACCAACTGCAAGAATTACATAGATAACAAACTGACCACAATCAAATTACGCCAAGCCAAGATATTAGAGACAGCTGAAGAGACCCAAGAACCAAAGTTTTGCAGTAGATCTCGAGCAAAATCAAGCACACCTCCACCTCGATCCATATGTTCCTTCATTGCTTCCACCACCAACAAAAGCTTAAGGACCATTGATCCCGCGTACATTAAGGAAGTCAAGCAAAGAGGGTAGACAACAGCTTGCCACTGTTACACAAAATAAAATAGTTTCGGCAAGAATAGTTTAGCAATCTGTCGTCCTTATGACTCTGCAAAACCATAGCTCATCTGCAGCATATTCACTATACACTGAAGTAAATACTCACAACATGATCCATTCGAACTCCATAGATGCCTAAAAGAGAAGGTATCTCCTTGATGTTCACCTACCATTCCATAGAAAGGGTAGATAAGGTCAACCAAACATTATTACGAAAAGCACTAACTGTTAACTGTAATCTTCTATCGATTGGAAACGAAACAGCGACAGTCCTCAATCAAGCATTTAGCAATACTCAAAGAGGAAGAAAACAATTTACTGCGGCAAGAATCGATTAAATGTAATCTTAATCGTAACAGCGCACACTAAATCACAGTAATGCAACCACAAGATCAATATAATTGCAGTCTAGGTAAGGTGAGGAACTGGAACTCACTGACCGGCAGAATAAGAGCACAGGCAGCAACAGAGACAACGGAAGCGATGGCGGCGCAGAAGAATCGGCGGAGCAGGAACTCCTTGAAGGAGGAAGGTTGAGGGAGGCGGAGGATCAGAGTGGGAGTGTAGAGAATCCCGACGTATAACAAGGCCATGACGGTGCAGGATAACACCGCCGTCGATTTCGACAGACCTGCTTCTTCTCTTGCTTCCATGGTTTGTACCTAGGTCGCTGGAGGAGTAAGCAAACGGGGATTTAATCGAACAATGGCTCTGTCAAGCTCCGGCCCAAGCAGTGGATCAATCTCGATTAAATTGGATAGCTGGAGCATCGACTTGGAAGGAAATGTTGTAGATGAGACGAGTTGCACAAAGGACGCAATTCTCACACTGAATCAGAGGGTTGCAGAACAGAAGAGGAGAGAGAGAAGGGGGAAAAGTTATTACACATTTTATTCAACCAATCATCTGAAACGAAGAATAAGGATCTCATTTTTGCCAAAGTACGAAGCTTGGGAAGAAAGGTTGAAGATAATTACCGCAGGTTAGCTGAGCTCTCTCTTACTCTCTCTGTCTCTCTCACTCCATCTCTGCAAGATGCTGGCTTTGTGGCTGACTGGCAGGGCTGAAAAACTGACCATGAAAATCCTTTGACCCGTACCCACCTTTATGGTCGAGTCGGGTCAATTTACCTATAAGGTCATATGAGGGTCGGGTCACCTTCGTCATCCTGTAAAGATCGGGTCAAAACTCTCCATGAAGTTAAAAGCCTACGTGATCTTGTGACTCGACCACCCCTGCATGAAATTTGACGGGAAAAAAAATATAAAAGGTCAATTCTCACTCTAGTCCTAAAAATCTCTTCGACTGATTCTCTCTTTGGCTGAAATTCTTCACTCTAGAATCTCGACCATCTCTAGATCAACCCTGCACTCCGTGGTCAAGTCTTGCTCCGAGCTCAAAACAACACAAACCCTTTATCCTAGACAACATTTATCGGCATAATCCTTCATCCCTTTGAGAACATATCGAGCAGCGGAGGCGAAATCGATGACTTGCATTCTTTGAGTCCGGTCTCTCTCCTCGTTTGACTTGCATTTGCTGAATTCGTCGCTTTTCTTCTCCAATTCTACTGGCTCGCCAACTCTTCGACACCACCGGAATTATCGTCGGTGAGCCATTCCGATTTCTTATGGCAATCGGAAAAGAAGAGAAGAGGAGAAAATGTAAAGATGGAACCACAAAGATGATTAAGGAAGAAAGAAAGAGAATGGAAAAATTAGGGTGAGTAAACGGTTGCCGGTTATTCCGTAAACTGCCTAATCGAACCAAACAAAAGTTGGTTAGTTGATTAACCAATAATCATTATTGAGGATCGGTTGTCGGTGTCGGTTGGATGAATGGAGCATGTCGGGTAATTGGGCGGTTATCTGTCAATAACCAATAATGAGTATGTGCACCGCAAAGTAACCGCACTAGCATCATGCCTCTCATTTCCCCCTAATCGCAGTCCCTCTATTGACAAACCACAAATAAAAGAACCATCGTTGCTCGCATACCCCCGTCGCCCCGTCATCATCGTCTCTCCACTCTTCTCAAAATCTCGCACCTACCCTCTCTCAATCGCTAGTCGTGAGTCTCTTGATCTCGCTCTATCCCAAATCAGCATCACCTCATCCCGACCCCTCGCATTTTCCCTACTAAAAAATAAAACCCTAAATCGATAAATTCCAAACAAAATCCCAATGCCCAGATTCGATACCACCGCACCTTCCTTCCTTTGTCGCTGGCCTCAAGAGTCGCGATCACACAACATCCTTCAGTTGCCTCTAGCTTCGCCACCCATTCTCCCTCCATCCTCCAAAAGGAAAAGGCGGAGGTAGTGGATTGGAAGATTGAAGTAGTGGCATCGAATGAGAAGCGAATAAAAGCCATTGTGGCAATGAGAGCTAGAAATCCGGTTAGATCCAACACCTCATCCATGCAGGTTCATTAGAAACTATTGTGGGACAATCCAAGTACCACATCGGAAATACAAGGGAAGGAACCCTTATATATAAGTGTCCACCTAGCCCAATTAGTACGAGGCCTTTTGGGGAGGACACCCAAGAGTAAAATCGTGCGGACTTGGCCCAAAGCAGACAATATCGTACTAATTTAGCAACCCGGTTATGACAAATGGTATCAGGTTCTGGTTCGGGTCCGGTGCGGTGGACGTCAGTTCAGTGGACCCTCATTCGATGATCTCAGGATTTGCAATTCGTGTTTGTTTGGTGGATCCAGGAGAGATCCATGTTTGGGCTTTGGCGGATCAAAGAGAGTTCCGCATTTGGGAAGCAGATCAAAGAGAGTTCTGCGTCTGGTAAAGTCCTTGTACCGAGAAGCCCATCGATACAAGGTGTCTGGCGGATCAAGATAATCGCTGAGGTGAGGACACGAAGTTCGTGGTCCTTGTCTTGAGGGGAGGATTGTTATGGGAGAATCCAAGTACCACATCGGTAATACAAGGGAAGGAACCCTTGTATATTAGTGTCCACCTAGCCCAATTAGTAGAAGCCTTTTGGGGAGGACACCCAAGAGTACAACGATGCGGGCTTGGCCCAAAGCAGACAATATCATACTAATGGAGCACCCCGATTTGACAAGTGGTATCAGAGCCTGGTTTGGTTCAGGGCGGTGGACGTCTGTTTGGTGGACCCTCATTCGGTGACCTCGAGATTTGAGATATGGGTTTGTCTGGTGGGTCAAAGGTGGTTCGCGTCTGGTTTGGTGGATCCAGGAGAGTTCCACGGTTGGGCTTGGCGGATCAAAGAGAGTTCCGCATTTGGGAAGCAAATCAAAGAGAGATCTGCGTCTGGTTTGGTGGATCTCTCAAGAGAGATCCACGTTTGGGCTTGGCGGATCAAAGAGAGTTCCGCATTTGGGAAGTAGATCAAAGAGAGTTATGCGTTTGGAAAATCCCAGTATCGAGAAGCCCATCGATACAAGGTGTTTGGCGGATCAAGATAATCATTTGGGGAGGACATGATGTTCGTGGTCCTTGTCTTGAGGGGTGGATTTTTGTGTGACAATCCAAGTACCACATCGGAAATACAAGGGAAGGAACCCTTGTATATAAGTGTCCACCTAGCCCAATTAGTACGAGGCCTTTTGGGGAGGATACCCAAGAATAAAACCGTGCGGGCTTGGCCCAAAGCGGACAATATCGTACCAATTGAGCTGCCCAGTTTGACGATCTGTCAAACCAAAAGTAGCCCAAACGTGGATCTCTCCTGGATCCACCGAATCAAACGCGGATCGCAAATCCCGAGGCCACCGAGTGAGTGTCCCACCAAACAGACGTTCACCGCCCCGGATCCGCCGAACCAAGCTCTGATATCATTTGTCATAACCGGGCAACTCATTTGTACGATATTGTCCTCTTTGGGCCAAATCCGCACGATTTTACTCTTGGGTGTCCTCCCCAAAAGGCCTCGTACAAATGAGCTTGGTGGACACGAATATACAAGGGTTCCTTCCCTTGTATTTCCGATGTGGTACTTGGATTGTACCTTAACAATATATGTTTGTAGCTTGCATGTATTTCTTAATTAAGATGAATAAGATTGACATTGGAGAGTTCTACCTCTCCCGTGGACTAGTCCTGATTATCAGGGATACCACATAAAATCCGGTGTTTGTTTTTTTATTTTGATCTTGTTATCATGGTATCAGAGCCTCTCTTGTGAGGAATTCGGCTGCTTGGAACGGGTCTTGGTCTTCTCGACTACTTTGGTTGTTTGTCTGCTTCCTTTGTTCTTAGTGCCATCGCCGGATTTGTTTGTTACTTGGTTTTGTGGACTGATCTAGGTGATTTTGGCTGTTTTTCTCGACTACTCTAAGGTTTTTTTATGTGGCTAGTTCTGGCAGTGTTGTGGGGTTCTTGTTGATCACTATTTTGGATGCTTGTTTCTCCGAATCTCATCGTTTTGGCTGTATGTTTCTCCAGCTCCTTTGCTTTCTTTGTCTGCTCGGTGTCTCCCATAGATTCCCCCAAACTTGATGCGTTGTAGAGCCAGTTTGATGGCAAGAATTTCCCGTTGTGGGAATTCCAATCTCACACCTTTATTCAAGGTAAACAGCTAGTTCCATTGTTGCTAGGTATGCGTCCCCAGCCATCCAAATCTGAGGAGAAGGCGTGTGCAGACTAGGAGGTCGAGAATGCCCAGGTCATTACGTGGCTTCTTTCTTGTGTCGACATTCCTACTAGCCTCAATTTGCGTCATTTCTCTACAACGAGTGAGATGTGGAAGCATCTTTCGACAACGTACGGTCAGGCTAGTGTTTCATGTCAGTTTGACTTGGAATCAGCTCTCTCATCCCTGCATTGGGTGATATGGATGTTCACTCTTATTATCAAGTTGCTATGCACTTATGGATTGAGAGTGATCTTCTTTCGGCCACTCTGACTGCTGCTCCTCTAACGGCTGACATGGTTGCATAACGCACCCGCTCACCTATGTATTCTCTTATAAAGCTTTGACGGGAGTTTGAGCCCATACGGGCATCTCTACTACACCATAACATCACTGGGTTATAGGAAATCTTGGCAGAACTCTATCGTTAGGAGACCCGTCTCAAAAGTCAGGCTAAGATTGACTCGTCTTCCTCTAGCTCTCTCGACAACTTTGTTGTGTTTGCTGCCACTTCCCATCGTCCCCAATATCATGCCCGACCGGAAATTCTACTTCCATTGATCCCTCATCCGCTCCCCGCATTTACCATTACTGTCGTGAGCCTGGCCATATCTAATCATTCTGCAAGAAAAAGAAACTGGTGCAATTATTGTAAACAGTCCAGCCACATCCTGATTGATTGTCCCTCAACGTCCTCCTCGCCGCGCTTGTCCACGTATGCCCAGGTTGGGCCCTCCTTATGCTTATGTTGCCACGGTTGTGGGTCATTTGCCCGTTGGTTCGGCTGCTTCAGATTTCTCCTCTAGCGTCTCCGAAAATGAGCTTACAAAGCTCATTCATGCAGCCCTCTAGGAGGTTATGACCTTTGTCTTCTCTGCTAGTTCTGGTTCAGGTAATCTTTGTCATTGGCTTATTGATTATGGTGCATTTAATCACATGACTAACAATGTCTTCTCTTTTCATTCTATTAAACTTGTCTCTCAGCGATTAGAAGTTGTGAATGGTGATCTTCTTCCTATTGCAGGCATTGGTCATGTGCATGAGTCGCAACTTCATCTTAAAAATGCTCTTCATGTTCCGCGTTTGTGCCTAATCTTATATACATGGGATAGTTGGCATAAGAGGGTTGAGAAATTTGATTTAATGATCGTGGTTGTCTGGCGCAAGACTCGACAACGAGGAAGGAGCTAGACCGAGGGCATAAATCTGGTCGGGTCTATGGCATGGATAGTCTTTGTCCCTTGGAGTCAAGTACAAGCCGGAGTCTGAAGAAAGAGCTAGGAGAAGCTAAGGTAGTGTGTGCGGTCACTAGTGATAAGGATAAATCTCATGATCCTGCTTTATTTTCCCTTCTTGTTAGAGATTCTTTGGCTTCTGATAGTCGACATTCTGTTTGGGATTTATGGCACTGCCACTTGGGGCATCCTAATTTTGCTCGGCTACAGATGTTTAAACTAAATTTATTACCCATTAATTTCATGCTAACTCATTTATTCCCCCTGTCCTGCATTAGTTGCGTTGAAGCTAAGGCAGCTTAACACTCGTTTGCCTCTGGTACTACTCTATATGATGCTCATTTTGATCTTGTTCACACAGAGCTCTGGGGTAGGTCTCGGTTCTTTCTAGGAATGGTTTCTATATTTTCTGCGTCACAAGTCTGAACTCATTACTCATGCCCACGATTTTATACGTATTATCCAAACACAATTCCAAAAAACTATCAAAGTATGCTTTGACCCTGGTGGGAAATTTAGCACCAATGATTTTCATGCTTTCTATCGTTCACAGGGGATTCTGAGACAATAGT